GGGGGGGGGGGGGGGGGGGGGGAATAGTTAAATTATTACCAATCAGATCAAAGTAGATTAATAAGAAACAAAAATGAAATCTTAAAAACACCCCTTCCCCCCACAACTCCCTTCTTCCTCAATTTCATGACTAAATTCTCTACTTTCTCCCCACCAGCAGCATAGGAGGATAGGAAATAAGGGCTGTGGTAATTTCATCACACACTCTCTGTGCCCTTCCTTCTTCCACAGAGGGAGGACATCTCATACTCTTCCTCTGTTCCAGTGTGGAGTCACTCACACAGAAGTCAATCCTCCACAATCTTCTCCAACATATATCCCTTCCACAGGCTGCAGTTCATCATGAACTGCTCCAGCATGAGTCCCTTCCACCAAGTGCCGGCCTTCAGGAACCAGCTTCTCCAGTGTGGGTCCCCACAGGGTCACAACTCCTGCCAGCAAACCTGCTGCAGCACAGGCTCCCCTCTGCATGGGGCCTTAGAGAGCTATTTCCTTTTATTCCAAGTTTCTAGGGGCTGAGGTTAGTGTTTATTCCAATTTCTAAGTGTTCTCACTAGTGTAGAGGATTAATTAACTGACCACTTGAGGTCCCTTTCCTTTTCTGTGAGAATGATTCCAGATGTACCTAATGTTAGAACTACAATATGTGTGAACAACTGTTCATAGAAATCAAAGAAGAGAAAAGTGAGGAAACTGGAGAATGTATGTTTTTTTCTAAATTAATATCTTTTGAAACCTTCTGTACGTACAGTAATATTCCTTTGGTGCAACACTGCCACAAGACGTATTTGGTGGCATCTTTTAAAAGTACCAAAATAATGGGATGAAACAAAAACATTAGGAGTATTTCACTTTAATTCAGTGCTAAACACAAAATATATTCAGGATGCATCCTCAAAATTTAAAGGATCGATACAACAGTATAAAATCCTTAGTAAATTTTGTTTTAAATGTAGAGTGTTTTAGTGTGATCTGCAATCAGCAGGTAGGAAATGTGAAGAGATAATACAAGTTCTTACTCAGGCAGCCTTGCTAGATCTCATTGTGGTGTAAATTCTTCTTAGGTCTTCTTGGGACAGAGAGTGGATAAAATCTTGGTGGTTATTATCTTCCATACTGTTACAAACTGCTCAGGAAAGAAAGGAATGAGCATACGTACTAACTGACTCATAGGATATTTCCATATTTCCATAGCAATAAAGTACACAGTCTCCCAACCCTAAACACAAGGTCTTCCTTGACCTAAATACAGGTTCTTCTACTCTCTGTCTCCTGAGGTCTTTGTTGTGGTTTAGCCACAGCTAGCAACTCAGCCCCTCCCAGCCGCTCATTTACTCCCTCCAAGTGGGATGAGGAAGAGAATCACAAGGGTAAAAGTGAGAAAACACATGGGTTGAGACAAAGACAATTTAAAAGGTAAAACAAAATCTGCACACACAAGCAAAGCAAAACAAGGAATTCGTTCACCATTTCCCATGGGCAGGCAAGTGTTGAGCCATGCCTAGGAAAGCAGGGCTCCACCAAGCATAGTGGTGACATGGGAAGACAAACACCATCACTCTGAACATCCCTGTGTTCTCTCCCTCCATTTTTGATCCTATTTCGGGTTTTCTTGCACAAACACATTCTCTTGCCAAGACATTCCCAAACCGATAGGACATATGGATGGGCATTTGCAACTTTCTAGCCGTATTCTTTCCACTACAGCCTGAAGTTTACAATGTTCAATAACTGCTTTAATTGATGACTGTATAAAACTTCAAGGAAGGAAAAGCCAGTAGAGGCCAGAAAGCAATCCAGGTAGGGGTGATACAATCTCAGTGGTCAGTGTCAATGGTCACAACACAGCCTCTATTTCAGAGGTTGATTTAATTCCAGACCCACCCAGATGGTTTGAGGGCTGCAGATACGGCTAACGTTTCTCATTTTAGTAGACTGCTTTGTATTAGACTTCACCATTCCAAAAAAGTCTCAGCTTGAATCTATGAGCTTTTACTCATAATTGTGTTTCTAGGATTGTGTTCTAGGAAATTTCTACTTAACAGTGTGCTTTTCCAGTGGTATTGCAGCTGTCTATGCCTATATTGACTGCTGTGGAGAATTAGGCATTTTTGCATGGTAATTATTTCTGTCTAGTTTAGAAATGGGTATTGTAGTAGAATTTGATACCTTCAGAGGTGTTTATAAGACACCTGTAGTAAGACTAAGTCTTAAATGGAGTCCTTTTATGTAAATAAAATTAGCTGAAAATAGTAAAATTAGCTTAATTTGTTTACACTATGGCATAGCCATATTTTTTCTTGATGTCAAGGAAAAAATTGCCATCTCAAGGAAAAATTAAGGTTCCCAATTTACCACCTAAGCTTTAAGTCATTTGCTCACTGAATGCAGAGTGAACTCAGCAGAGTTCCCTTCAATAATGAGATAAGGGGACCTCAATATATCTGTCCCTTGCACTTACATATCTGAAGATGTCATGTTCAACTGCCTACAAGGAATTGGTCAAACTTGTCTTTCACAGTGAATCAAATCAAACCAGTTATCAGCCCTATGAAAGAAACACTGTCCTTTACTCGTACAGGAATGCTCATTGCTGTGAGCAGTATCAGGGGGACGAGAGGTAGACTGTTTCTTTTCAAAAAAGATAATACCATCCTTAACAGTCAAAACTCTGATGCTCGTGGAATATATTTTTTTACAAGAAAAGTCTTTTTCAGAGACAAAAATTATTTTGTTTTCAGGATTGGGAAGAATGCAGATTGTTGTCAGAAAAGGAATGCAGTACTATGTAAAACTAAAAACATTCAGCTCTTTCACTCTGTTATTTCCTCTGTACATTCTTCACAAAGACATACAAAATTAAAAGAACTTTAAGCTAGTTAGCCTACAGCATAGAAATGAGGAATTTATATTGATTTTTCCATGTTTAAATGACAAGAGAAATTTGTGGCATAAAGACTTAGTAAACTTTGTATCTCAGGTTTTTTCACACCTTTTTTTCATTAGATTGCTAGTTATTAATGAAGAGCCTTCTCTGGACAGTGCTGAGCCCAAGCATCCAGTCCTAAACTGGACCTTTGGTCATCACCAAACACCAAAATATAGGAACAAATTCAATATGTGGGAAAGTGCATTTCATCTATAGTTTGCTGTCTCCTTTAACCAAAAAAATAAAAGGGTTTCTGGTCAAATTCAGTTCAACAGGCCCTATTAATTTACAGGAAAATTATGAGACAAGACTACTTTCAAAAAATATAAATCTCTGCAGAAAGGAAAAATATAGATTAGATAAAAGAGCATAATTTTTTATTTTGCCTGCAAAGAACTATAGAATCA